ACAAAAATATTGTTTAGATATCACCTTGGATATTTAAAAAGTGAAAAAGTGGAATACCAATTTTAACAATAAGCATAATCTGTGAATCATCAAGCACAAAGTACATAGTATGCAGCCACAACACTGACTCTGAAATACTTCTTTAAATGCAACAATAATACATTTATTCTTTGTAATATTTAATGTAAAACTTTTGGCCTTCCATCCTGAATGCAGCCATTCAGATTCACCCAATGACCTGTTTTTCCAGTTCTCATTAGTTTTCCAGACTTAATCCTGTGGGATGAGTTCAGTTAGGCAGTGCTGGACTTACTGTGCCTCAAAAGAATTCCTAATAATAATATGTAGCAGTTATATAATCTTTCAGAATAAAATTACCTATAAAGTTGGACTATACTCTTTTAACTACCATGTAATATTGCAATGGAAAATCACGGTAGCCCTACTACATTTCCCCAGAAAATGGTCACCATCCTATCATTAGCAGATGGCACTAAAGAAGAACAACCATATAAATCATAGAGCTACCCTTCTGCACATATAGACACCTATTAGATCAATATCTGCTTTATGTAAATGCTATCCCAAGTCCTGAATATCCTCTTCCCTATTATGTCACTGCTGATCTTGTGATGTTCAGAATTCTCCAGATATGAGAGCCTAATATGTCTGGAAGAATGTCCAGATGTTTCAGGCTGGTTTCAGGCTATGCATCACACTGATGTTTCATACCAAAATAAATAATAATTGATAATCCATGGTCAAAGAATAAAGAGTCCAATACTACCCTGGTAATGATGCTTTTCTATTAGTCTAGAGGTTTTTTTTTAATGTACAGGTGGTGATTTATGATCACAATTGAACCCAAAATTTCTGTTGCTAAATGAGTCAGTCGTTAAGTAAGCTTTGCCCCATTTTAAACCTTTCTTGCCACGGTTGCCACAGTAAATCATTGCAGTTTAGTAATACATTTTTTAAAGTGAATCTGGCTTCCTTGTTGACTTGTCTCAAAGGTCGCAAAAGATGATCATGTATCTCCAAGGCACTGCAACTGTCATAAATACATGCCAGTTGCCAAGCATTCAAATTTTTATCATGTGACCATGGGATGCTGCAAGGATTGCTAACTGTGGAAAATGGTCATAAGTAACTATTTTTCAGTGCTGTTGTAATTTTGAACAGTCATTAAATGAATGGTTGTAAATAAAGGACTACCTATATAAGATAATTCAGCTCATGGAGCTCCCCTATCAGCCAGCTTTGTTTATCCAAGAAGACCTGGTGTACATATTCCATTAAATACAAAACAGGACTCATTCTAGTACAATGAAGAAGATTTCTAGGTAAATCAAAAATCCATGTTCACACCTGCATAGACATGAATTTTGATTAGCGTTTAATACCCTATCTTCCCACTATTAAAATAAAAGTGAAATAGCTGGATCTGATAGCTATCGCTTGGGAACCTTGCTGACTGAGTTTTGAGAAATTTAATGTTATAGTCATGAGATATGCAAGTAGATTATTTGCATACGCAACTGGATTTATAAAAGGACTTTGCATAAAACAACTTTTTTCTGGACCCAACAGAAATATATCATGTAAGCTATATCTAAATATGTGTGTGAAAGTGTCTGTTTTAGAAATAAAAAGAGTGCTTTGCAGTAGCATTTTAGAGATAAGACAGCTTTCATGAACAAGAATGCTCTATTGTGTGTACCACTTTGTGCTTGTTGTATTAAGGTGAACATGTTTAAGACAAAATGGAAGTATAAAGCAGTAGCCATAGGGAGGAAAAAACCCTGAACAATTAATTGGAGAAGAAACAAAATGTTTCTGGGGGGAATTATTGTTTATATCAGCCAAAATTATATCAAAAATATCAGCCAACACTCCAGAAGATAAGCTTAAGATACAGAAGGATCTTAGACTTGAACATTGGGCGCTATCTAACAAAATGAAATTCAATGGTGAAAAAAGTAAGGTTTTACATTTAGGCAAGAAGAATCAAATGCATAGGTACAGTATATGTGGTACCTTGCTTAATAGTAGTAACTGTGAGACGGATCTCGGAGTCCTAGTGGACAGCCATTTAAATATGAGCCAGCAGTGTGCAGCAGCTGCCCAAAAAGCCAACACAGTTCTAGGCTGCATAAACAAAGGGATAGAATCAAGATTATGTGAAATGTTAATACCACTTTATGATGCCTTGGTAAGGCCACACTTGGAATACTGCATTCAGTTTTGGACACCATGATGTAAAAAAGATGTTGAGACTCTAGAAAGAGTGCAGAGGAGAGCAACAAAAATGATTAGGGGACTGGAGGCTAAAACATATGAAGAATGGTTGTAGGAACTGGGTATGTCTAGTCTAATGAAAAGAAGGACCAGGAGTGACATCAGTGGTGAGATTCAAATAATTTAACAACCGGTTCTCTGCCGTAATGATTTCTTCCAACAACCAGTTCACCAAACTGCTCAGAAAGTTAACGAACGGTTCTCCCGAACAGATGCAAACTGGTTGAATCCCACCACTAAGTGACATGATAGCAATGTTCCAATAACTCAGGGGCTGACTCAAAGAAGATGGAGTCAAGCTATTCTCCAAAGCACCTGAGGGCAGGACAAGAAGCAATGGGTGGAAACTAATCAAGGAGAGAAGCAACTTAGAACTAAGGAGATATTTCCTGACAGTTAGAACAATTAATCAGTGGAACAACTTTCCTCCAGAAGTTGTGGATGCTCCAATACTGGAAGTTTTAAAAAAGATGTTTGATAACCATTTTGGTGTAGAGTTTCCTGCCTAGGCAGGGGGTTGGACTAGAAGACCTCCAAGGTCCCTTCCAACTCTTATTCTATTATAAATAATTTTATTAAAATTAAGAAGGCTAAAATTGGGTATAGAAATCATCAAAATTTGAGAGCTCCACTGTCCTGATTTTATAGAAGTTTTCCCAGCATTAAAGTTGCCACAAGCAGGATTCATTAAAACATTTTTTAAATTAAAAACTTTATTATTTTATATTTTCATTACAATTCACAGTTTATACATGGTAAGACCACTTTTCTTACCATGTTGACATTCAGAACACTGTGCTGGGGGGCAATGGTGGTGATGGGGCCTTTTTCTTTGAAGAGCTTGGCCTGATATATATTTAATGGAACTTTACTGATCTGAGATGTACACTCTTGTTAACTCTTCACTGATTGCTATTTACACCTATAACTTAGATTTGTTAGGAAAAAAATGAAGCATTCATAAATTTAACATTCATAGTTTATACTGCTATTAATAATAATTAAAATGATACGGATATGTTATTTAATCCAATTGAAGTCCCATTTTGTATTAAATACTCAGAGCCAAGAGTGAAGGCCTCAAATAGCTCTGTCAGTGTAAGCTCCTGTGATTTCAGTGGAGTCTTGCACCTTAGTTATGCTTTGAGGATCAGGCTGCCTATTAATCTTTTAAGGGGTATTTATATACAGCCAGGTTTCAATAGAATAAAATGTTTAAAAACAATTTAAAAGACAAGCCATTGCATTCCATTCCATTATTTTAAATTTTGCATTCCTTCTGAATCTCATACACACACTTAGAAACAGAAGACACAAGAGGCTATAAAATTAAGTTGTTTTCTTTTAAAACAATCAAAGAAAGTCTAAGGATTGGTTTCAGATCTGCGTTATCAGCCTATTATAACCAACCAAGAACCACCTATTTAATTATACTCTGTGCTATTGATCAACTATTTCCATGTCTGCATTTGTCTTCAGATACCATCTACTGTATATCCTTGGTGTTGAAAGTCACAGTGATGCCAGTTTAAATTGCATTCCTACTTTTATTCCCAGCTGCAGTGGGTAAAAATGTAGGATGTAACATTCAAGGAAAGCAATCCAGCAGGCACGATCCCTGTGCTAAGTGAGCTTCTAACATGACACAGATAAAACAAACAGGGGGGGGAGGGGGAGGAAATGAATGCTTTTCTGCCAGCAGCACTGCATTTACTAGTAGCTGACCTGCTGCTGATTCAGGATTGGTCTGCATTCTTTATATGCAAAAGAATCTATTGCACCAAGATGTATCTCTTGTCAGATAATTTAAGAACACGCAACTGAAGATTTTTGGTACATGGTGCATGGCTACGAAAGGTTGAGTAGAGTTTAAATAATGAGACCTGACATGGATCCATAAATTCTACATATCAATTGAGTGTACATGTATTATCTGCACCTGAGTTTTTAAAAAAATTATAGGGGACACCTTTTGCAACCTTTATAATTGCAGTGCCTTTAAAGCTAGATTAGAAGTGGCATTTTGATGTCCTTGATTTGGCATATTTCTTAACGCTGGTATCCTTGGCTTCAGACATCCTTAAAACATGGTTGGGGGAGGGCAAGAGGAAATATAAACATGAGATATTGGACTCATGCAAGAACCAACAAACTAACAAAAACCCATATGAAAGATATAGAGGTTCTGTTTCTTTAAAAGATAAGGCACTGACAAAAATTTCTTAGGTAAAAGGCTGCATAAGATTTTCTTGCCATTTACATATAGATTGTAGTCCATGTATGGTCCTTTCTTAGGCGTGGCATGGTAGACCCTGAAAAGTTTAAGGACTGATCTCTCAAAGCTACATTGTTAACCTAAACCAGCATTATTCATTCTTAACGCCTTGCAGCACAACAGGAGAGATGAAGAAAAACAAAAACGAAAACCACTCTGGGCACCAATATATATATATATATATAAAGGCATTGAACATTGCTTAGTTCAGCATTTGTCAATGACCAAAGTGCCATTCATCTTGTGTCTTTCAAGAAATATAATGATGACTCCATATTGTGGGTAGATTTCTGTTGGAACTCATGCATATGATTTTTAAAAAATGCTATTGGCATCGGTTATGGACAGAGGGAAAATAATCGGACCTACAAGGTAAGTCTAAACCATAGGTGGCTTCTTATTAAAAGATCAGGCTTCAAAGTCACTGCTACTTAATGTTCTCAATCACAGCAATTTCTTCCGCTGCACAGTGAGGAGTCAAGCCATTCATATAAATGCTATCTGCCTTTGTGAGGGCAGGCAAGATATCTTTCTCGCTGGTGAGGTGGTTGACAGACAAGGTTCTTTTGCAAGGAGTCAGATCTTGGCTGTGATTTACTGCCATTTCTGCAGAGAGCTTTCTTTTGATGGAGGTAGCCCGCTGGAACTTGTCATAGATCTCAACACTCAGGCGCCTCCGGGTTTCTTTGAACTCTGCGGTAACATTGGCTGTCCACTCCGCTGCATGAGCTCTGAACTCTCCCACCTAAGGAATCAGGTGGGAAGAAGGAAAGAGAGACCGTTAGTACTGCGTTGCATTTTTTTTTTATTTTAAAAAATGGTGTATGTGGATAAAGGTGCAAAAAAAGTAAAAAAAAGTGTTCAAAACCTGACAGCTACCCTTTCTAAGAGACCTTCTGTTCCTTGGCTATCTAATTAATCTCTATTTTGTTCCAATCCAAGGATTTAACCACCTCATTGCTCATCTAATAAAAAGGACACACATTGCAACATCTAAGATCTTTACCTCTAAAACATTTCGCAGCTCTTTTTATAATGCTACATAGGCCACTGAGGTGAAATTGCTTTTAAAAATTAAGGCTTGACAGCTGAGACAATCTCATTTGGACAGGAGAGCTGAATTCCCAGCAATCCAGAGTGCATGTTATGTGTTGTTACCAGGGGAGATGCCATGGTTATTTATGGATACCCTGGCTTGTGCATGTAATAATTCCTGTGAGAGGCAACATAGGCCTTTCTATATTTAGACGGAGAAGGCTTTTAAAAGAAAAATGTCAGCTGTCGCAGTTCTATTTTTAGGGCCATTTCCAACTGAGGATTAATGCAAGTGACAGTTTTAGTCAAGTCAGCAGAACAATTGCCAGTTTCTCCTTCCACTGCAGTATAACATTATAATGTGAAACTTACAATACACTAGAGTAAGAGGCTTCTTGGACATTAACATTTTCCAATCTGATGCATAAAGGGCTCAGAGGATGGATATGATGATATGAGATAAATATTTCTTTAACTAATTAAGTTCAGTGACATTATGGGATGATTTGCATTATGACATTGAAAGGAAGAACCAGCAGAATCTAAAAGACCCTCCACCCCCGAAAAAAAATTGAATGTGAAACTTTCTAAACCCCAAACTCTTAGGTAATACCCGGTTTCCCCCATCTTGTCAAGACAGAATGGTCTACTCAGCTGAAATCAGTCCTGGATAACCCTCTCCCCATAAATCTTTTTGTGTGACACACGTGGGTATTTTTGCACATACAGGTAGCCCTTGCTTACTGACTGCCTCATTTAATGACCATGCAACACTACAAAAGTGCAAAAAAACCAACTTGGTGACCAACTCTCATATTGTCTTTCACAATGACATGATGACCATTCACACACTTCACCACTGGCTTCCAACAAGCAGAGTTAATGGAGTGCACAGAAATAAAATTGTAAGTCAGAGTCACCTGATGTCTCACTTTATGATTGCAATGATTCCTTTAATGACCAAAGGGAAATGACATCACAAGCCTGTTGCAGCCATGTGATTAGCTATCAAGTTGACAATCCCAACTGTGGTAATTATACAAGGATTACTTGTATTCACGTGTGGAAATGTATATCTATACACATACCGCATCCAAAAGTTATATGCCAAAGCATGCCAAAAATAGCACAAAAAATAATTATTATTCATTGAAAATAATTTTCTATAAAATAAGGTAGTCCTTTTATAAAACAGATTCCTCTTTATGTATATGAACTGTTCCCTTGCCCACTGAAGTGGTACCTATTTATCTACTTATATTTGCATGCTTTTGAACTGCCTGGTTGGTAGGAGCTGGAGCAGGCAACGAGAGCTCACCCCATTGCATGGCGCTCAAGTCTTGAACTCAGGCTGTCAGCTTTCTGGCTGACAAATTCAGTGTCTTTAATTGCTGAGCTAGTGTCCTCATAACACCTACACACATACAGCCCAAAGTCCCCAAACATCCTGGTGGAAAAAAGAGCAAGCAAGAGCTCAATCCCATTCCAATATTTTCATCCTTCTTTGTCCCCAAATCAAAACTCATCTATCATTGCAGAGTTATCATTAATCAATTTAATGAAGAGAAGGGCTAGGAGTGATATGATAGCAATGTTCCAATATCTAAAGGGCTGCCAGAAAGAAGAAGGGTCAACCTGTTCTTCAAAACAAGGCAGGACAAGAAACAATGAATAGAAACTATTTAAGGAGAGAATCAACCTAGAACTAAGGAGAAATTCCTGACAGTTGGAACAATTTATCAGTGGAACAATATGCCTCCAGCCGTTGTGGGTGCTCCAATATTGGGGGTTTTAAAGAAAAGATTGGACAACCATCTGTCTAAAATGCTACAGGGTTTCCTGCAGGGGGTTGGACTAGAAGACCTCCAAGGTCCCTTCCAACTCTGTTATTCTGTTAACTCTAACTGGAGCCATGAATTGGCAGCCATATAAATTAGAAAAATTAATTATCCAAGATCCTGGAGACCTATTTTCTTCAGTGAGGTGTTTTGATTCAATTACCAGGGTTTCATATTCTTATTTTCAACAAAACAAAGTACCTCTTCAAAAACATGTGTAGCCCACATGTTTCCATCAGCTCCAATTTTCATGGCTTACTACATTCAGAAAAAAGTGATAGATTGTTATCTGAATTATTTCCAAGTGAATATTTTTATAAAAAATAGAAACACTTAAATAAATTAATGTAACCATAAAATAGTCAATCATTGACAAGCAAATAGATACCAAATGTGCACAGCCTTTTTTGTTAATTAAGTGACATGGATTAAGAAGCATTTGTTATTAAAAGACTACCTCATTTGGTTCAAAAACCAAAACCAATAGAAACATATTATGGAAATATTGCTTTTCCATACTAAATCAAAATAATAGAAACTGATTAATTCTAATTAATTTATTTTCATTATACCACAAATGTTTACTCTACTTATTTATGCACATGAATTGTTTTCAAAACTGGTTTCTTTTTTTTTAACCATATCCCATTTTATGGAGTGCTTCATTCACAGAATATGATGAAAGACTCTCCTCCCTTCCTCCTTGCTGACCATAATTTCTGGATTTTGTTGCCCAGTATTAAAAAGTTCTTGTACTGGAGCTTTAGCCACCTTGTCCAAGTAAGTTAATCAAAATGATTAAGTGCACAGTAAAAATGTAAGATAGCTTATGAGGCAAAGATGAGCAACCCAATCATATAACAAAAATTAAAAATTCTGTCCCTATCCCTATAGGTAGTATGTGTCTTTCTCAATCTTGGGCCCTCTACTGGAGTCTGCCAATTTGAGGGATTTGAGCAGTATCTCAGCTGTTCCTAGCACTAAACTCTTCTGGACAGAGAGCTCTGAAGTTGTTCCTGGAATCTGCTAAAACCTTTCTCCCAAATACTCCTACCACTACTGGAAATATTTCGGCCTTTACTTTCCAGACTCTCTTTAGTTCCACCTTCAGACCCTGGTACTTCTCCAGATTTTTATACTCCTTTCTGATAGTGCTGTCACTTGGCAGCTCTACATCTACCACCACTGCTGTCTTCTGGTCCTTGTCTCGTTGTATCCTACCCTGATGTCTGCCTGATTAGCCAGTATCTGCTTTTCTGGTCTGGAAATCCCACAAGATCTTAACCCTTTTATTCTCCACAACCTTCTGTGGAATCCCCTACCTGAACCTGGGAGAATGTAGTTTATAAACTGTGCAGAAGTTCCTGTACACAATGTGTGATGACCCGGGGCATGGCACAAAGGCAATGCAGTCAAATAAGCAAGAAGAGTCCCTTTATTATCTCCAACATTGCCCCCAATGTCCAGGTTACCTTCTGCTGGAGAAAAACTCTCCCAGGAACAGCCTTTAACTGGACAAAATTCAGTCCAAAACAAGGTACATACAGACTGTAACTAAAAGTCCAAACAAACCAAGCTGCAGTAATTAACTTGACAGGACAGGAGAAGGACTTTGAGACTTGAAAGCATGGCAAAACTCACACAGTTGGGAAGATGCTAGGAACACAGATAAGCTAAATATACCAGGTGATACCAGATAAATTTACGATTTGTTCCCAACAGCTTGCTGTGCGCAGCTTCCTCTTTTATACATTCTGTTCCCAGCTGCAGCTAATGAAGGGAATCAGGGCCCTTTGCTCTCCCGTAAGCCACGCAACTCACGTTGCTCCCTTCTCCATTCCTCTCTGCGTGCCCTAGGATGAAGACGGGGTGGACCTGGGTCTTCCTCTGAATTCCCTCTCCCTTGCTTCACCTCTTCCCTCCTCTGCCTAGCAAGACTTTGCCCTTCCCCCGTTTCTTCCACAGCTAACGGAACCACACTCCCACTCCCTGTCAGCTGTTTGGCCTCCCCCTCCGAATCAGATTCCGACAGGGGCACAACACAATGCCAACTACCTGGTTGTGCCTTTCAATATATGATGTTCCTACCTGCATGTTACAACCTGCCACTACGTGTCCCTGAGGCCTCTCTGCATAGTCTGTACCTTGGATCCTCTCTAGTGCAATCGACCCCAGCAGAAATGGTCTGGTATATAGTGCCTGTTCTTGTGTTGCTATGATCTGTGCCTCAGGGCTGTCTTTTAACCCAGCCATTTCCAGCTCCTGGTAGGATTTTCCATGTTAGGCATCTCAGCTACTTGTAATAATGTCTGCTTTTCTATTTACAGAATAACAGAGTTAGAAGGGAACTTGGAAGTCTTGTAGTCTGACTTCTTACTTTCTAACTTCCTAGACGAGCAGAAAATCTTTCCACCATTCCAAAAATGACTATCCAATCTCTTCTCAAAAACCTACAGTGATGGCGCCTACATCTCACCAATTAGTTCTCTGGATATGCATAAACAATTAAACTATTCCAAAAGTAGCATCCAAATTATGACAAATTAATTATGACAAATTGTTTTATCACAATGGGTCTCTGTAGTCTATGTAATAATAGTTTGGAAATAAAATTCTCCATAACTCTTTTAACGTTACCCTAGATGCATTTAAATAGAAACAATTCATAAAGCCTATATAAGTAATGTAAAATTAATGTAAGAAACAGTAAGATTGTTTTTGGAAGAGTGATTATGTATCAGATTGAGAACAGACCTATATATAGTAGTATCATTCTTTTCTGCTATATCAGAACACTATTTATAATAATAATGGTCCAGATAGATTCTCTGGACTTTCAGTAATTCTGTGTCCTAAAATGCACTACAAGGAA